CCCGGGGCGCCCTCCGGCCATACCTTCACGGCTTCTCTCCGCCCTGCTGAGCGCTGGCCACCCCAGGCGCCAGCTCTGGCCGGTTCCGGTTCCTCCTCTCTCTCCCACTCTTTCTCCTTTTCCTCCCTGGGGACCAAGTTCACCAGAACGGCCAGCTCCCGGTTGGGCCGTAAGTCCTTCAGCTCAAAGCCTTCGCGGCAGAGCGGACAGCCGGCGCTCCTCTTCACCTTGCAGTAGTAGGTGGTGATGCAGGACCGGCAGAAGCTGTGGCTGCAGCCTGCGAGCCGCACGGGGTCGGTGAAGTACAGCAGGCAGCATGGGCACTTCAAGTCCAGCTTGGCCTGGAGCTGCCGGAGATCCACAGAGGCCGCCATGATCTCTGGCGTTTCAGTTTCGGTTCCCACAGGCGCCCCTCCTCCTGCCTTCCCAGAGGCTCCCTCTGTGTGCGAAAGCCAGGAGACGGCAATGGGATGGTGGGGACAGGGTATCCCCTCCGAGAGCGAAGGGAGAGAGCCAAGGACCCCGCAGGATGGTGCCTCTCCTCTAACGCTGGCTCCACTGAGAGGCTGCTGTGCTGCGGTGGAGATGGGTCCACCCACACGGCTGGGCCCCACAGCTGGGCCGAGGCTGCCGAGCTCGCCCCAGGCAGGCAGGATGGAGCAGAAACGGGCCGGGAGGCTCCCACAGACTCCAGGCCAAGACGCAGGGCGCAGCCGGAAAGTTCAGTGCCTGGCCCAGCACTCCCCTCTTCTGGCAGCTCTGGTCCATGAATTGGTTTGACTTAGAAAGGAACTGTCATGCAGAGCACTCTGTGATCCGGCCTTGACTTTTACTGACTCTGGCAAAAAAGTTGTCGCATCTGCACTATTTCACTTTCTCAGGGAGTTTCCTGGTTTTGTTAGAGAAGTCTCAGTAGAGTTGCTGACAGGGCTGGCCTACTGACCCGTCTGGGAGAGCAAGTAACACAGCTCAGTGGGACCAGCACAGCACCATCCAGGAAGTTTAGGCTACTGGGTGGCCTGCTCCCTACTGAGCATCATCCCCTGTTACTCAGGTGTGTAAAACCAAACCAAGACTGATACTGTTCCTCATACAAGTCAGCAGGTGCTTTGCTATTGATTTCGGTGGCTGCTGGATCAGATTGCTACAAGATTTGCTGAATCACCACAAGCTGGAATTTGGGCTGTGTGGCGAGAATGGGAACACGGGAGTTTATGGGAGCGTATAAGCAAGCAAAACTCCTGCTGCAGATTGCTCAGGGTGAGATGGTGATGAGCTGGCTGAGACAGGCAGAATGAAGATCCAACTCAAATCATTTTTGCCCACTATTGCACACACACACATACAAAGTTAATCTCACTAATCCCTGCACATATCAGCACTTCCTCATTTCTGCAGAAGAGGAGAACTATTCTGGGTATCTCAGACTGGCTGGCAAGCATCAGCAAGAGGTGACAGCTTTACCAGAAACTTAGTTTGCAAGACTTCCGCTTGATTTGCAAACTAAGGCAGTATAAAAGAGAAGAATCAAATATCTGAATGACTGGCTGCTTGGCAGAATCAAACCTTACACTCTGTCCAGCAAGAAAAAGCTCAGTGCACTGTATCAGCCCATGTAAATCTTCACTAATTTCTGCATGGAACAGATTAAGTGGCACCCGATCAGGAGGCATTCACCCTCCACTTCCAGTGCTGGTACTTATTCACCGAGTGTCTTCAAGCAGGTCACTGAAGATAACACTTTTAAAAGTAGCTTCTGCCTTTCAGTCCCCATATTAGACCAACTCATTAAGTGAATCTAGAACCCAAAGCTTCAGCTGGACTTCCCGGAGGTAGGACAGGTCAGCATATCTTCATCCTGAACTCATAATGCCTTGGTTGGGGCACCCACTATCCAGCTTTGCTTTGGAAAAATTTGATGTTCACACGTCAGATCTGCCAGTTATAGAAGAGTCAAATAGCAGAGACTGCCAAAAGCAAGCAGCTAGGGGTATTTGTCATCAGATTGAGTCCATTACAGTATCCTCTACAATTCAAACATGACTTTTATTTCTATAATTTCTGTACCAGAAATACAACACTGTAAAAGACATTAAACCCACTGAAAACAACCCTGTCCCTGTCTGGAGAGGAGCTGCAGGCAGGTGGAGCACAGCTCCTGAGCTTTACATGTGCTCAGTGACTGCCAGAGTATGCAGCCGCTGCTTGGCTGTGCTCCTCCCACAGTAAGACATCCAGAAACTCCAGCACAAATTGGCATTTTAGGTCTATCCGACAGGACACTCTGCATCTTCCTGGTAGGTGATGATCTTTTTGCCTCTTGGTCACGAGTTGTATGGACTCAAGTAACGGATGATCATGTTCACCAACAGGATATATGCCACGTGCCAAACTGTCAAATACATCATCCTACAGGATGTATAGGCATCCTCTTCTGACCTCAGACTGAGGCCAGAGCGGGAGGATCTGGTATAACAGCACCTACAGGGGTCCTCAAGGAAATGCATGTCAGTCTCTCCTGGCGTCAGAATTTCTCTGCTGACCTTGCCTCTTTTTCCATAAGACAGCGCTGGCTGGTTCATCCCTACCTCAGGCGAGGAAGGCTGCCTCCTCTCAAAAACAGACAAGGGAAGGAAGAGAGAAGACACTTCATGCAAGGTTCTGCAGGGACACAGATCCTTTCTAAACATCCGTATCCCCCTCTAACTCATTTCTCTACTGCCCCTCTTCTTGTGCCTGCAGCTGTTCAAGGAAGAAGTCCTCGGTACTAGTCACTCACTGCAGGGCCTTGAGCACTATCCTTGCCAACAGAAAGAGGCCACAGAGCAGCGCTGAACAGAACCCAAAAGTGCAGTTCACTGCAACTCTGTGCTAGTCTTAGCCTGTCAAAGGCTGGGCAAGGACTCCATTCAAAGCATCTATCCACTCCCTCTGCTCCCTGTCGTTCTCGCATATAAACACAAACTCTCTCATTGGTGTGACCACAGTGATCCCCGGTTTCCTCTTCTTCACTCGGATTCCCTGGGGAAAGCCAGCTCGTACTTCATATCCCTTATCCGTCGTTCCAATAAAAACATGGCCCTGTTCAAATGCATCCTAGAAAGAAAGAATCAGAAGACATCCATTAGCCAGTTGACAGTGTGGCTCCAGCAGACATTGTTCCATCCTTTGGCATGGAGCAGGAACTGCGGACCCATGGAGGGGACACTGATGACAAGGAACAGAAAACACAACAGAGCTTTTTTGTGCTCACAGGCATTCTCCAAAGAAAGAAGTAAGGACCCATCCTTGCAGAGCTGGCTGGTAGGTGTTCAGAGGGAGCATGGCAGGATATTCTTGGGGTGAAACGTGTTAGAAAGTGTTAGGAAGCATTCAGAGTTAGGAAGCACAATATAGGGGCTCTCAAGCCTCTGTTATTAGTATTCCCCTAATGTTACATACACACCTGCAACACGGGTGGGAGTGAGTGGACTATAAATTCTCGTGGCAGGTGCAGTGATTTTTAAAAGACCTAGATCTTCCTCACAGCTACTAGGAGGGCTGGAGTTCCCAAATTGCTCTGCTCCAAAGAGATCCACCAACAAAGGAGACGAGCTCTTGGGAAGCACCTGTCTCACTCTTGCGCAGCCACTGGCAAAGTGGGGTAAGAACAGCACTCCCCACTCCATGAAGGGGCTTGTGGAATAGTGAAGAACACTCTTCTTACCAGTGGATTTTTAAAGTAAATCAGGATCCTCTCTTGAGAGTCCAGGCTGAACCAGCGCACCTTAAAGGCCTCCTTCTGCTGCAAGGAGATGGCAGAAGTTCTTTAAAGACCAAGTCCCAAAGGAGAGTTCTACCTATTCAGGGCAGACCCCTCAGCTGCTTCTCTGTCTCCAAGCTTGAGTTCAGTGTCACTTTAGCACCATAACTGGTAATAGGTGACTCACTGCTATGTGCAGACCTCAGCTCCCTTCTCTCTGGGTTCACACTAGAGATTTGTATTCAATGACAATCCTTTAGGTGAGGCAGGACAGTTTGGTTCTACAAGTGATCAAACTATCAGGTTTCAGAAAGTTGCAGCAAATGGATTAACTGAAAACACTGCAGAGAATGATCCTGGGCCAGTGGCTGTCATGAAGAGTGTGTGCAGGCCATTTCCGTATTTTGGTTGGGGGTTGTTTTTACAATTTAAGTTTTAAAAAGTGCTAATTCTATCAACTGTGCTCATCTGAGCATGCCCTGATCTATTCACTCCTCTGATGGATTAAGGGCCCTCTTCTAGGGCTCACTGCAGTTTGAGCAGAATTTAGGCCTTAAGTGAAAAAAAAAAAACAAACCCCAACAAATCATCTTTCATGCTGTTGGCTTTGAGCATGCTCTATGCCAGGACCTGCAGGAAGATCTTTTGGGACGCTAGCACTAACTTGGGCCAAAAAAACAGCATATTCAATACCAGCCTTTTACTACTGAACTTTTTAATGGGACTTTGACTCAGAGCTTATTCAGTGGAGAGCAGGACAAGAGGCAGCAGTGTTCAGATAAGACCTCAGATCTTTCTCTCCTTCTCCAAGCAGAGTCTGCACTCTCCCTCTCCCATTCTTTTCCAAGAAGTAGCAGCCAAATACTCTCCCGCAAAAAACAAACTAAACCGTAGACTTCACTGCAAAGTAGTCGCTCTATCATATTTCCTTGCTATAAACAGATGTGACTTCTGTGCTACCAAGTTTAAGAGGGAAGTAGGGGGAGTCAGCATGTGATTTTCTGTTCTACAGAGTGCTGCCAATTCTAGAGCTGCAGTTAATGGGCGTACGATACAGCAACCCATTTAGTGTTGCATAATAGCACTTTGCGTTTCCACTGTCAGTTAATTCATCTTGCTTACTTTTCAAGGAGGATCCTCCTTCCCAGTCTTATTTTCCATACAAAATTAAACAGAATTCCAGAGAACATTATAGGCTAGAATATAATCTCTTTTATCAACCCAGGAAGCAATTAGTCACTCAACAAATCATTTACTACTAAACACCACAGCATTATCAAATATTCTCCATCTGGAAGAATCCTGTTTGCCTACTGCCAAGTATGTAAGCTGAACCTACCTTTGGTCCCGTTTTCTCCATATATCCTTCTTTGATATAATTTCTTGTAATCCTGGGTATGAGCTAGGAGAACAAAACAAAAAAAAAAGTCAGCCATCTCATTCAGGCTCACTTTTCTGTTCTGTTTCTGTCAAAGCAAATCACCATCAATTTTGGCTTTTGGGGCTTGGGTTTTTCTTTGGCTGCTCAGTAAAGGGAAGTTTGAAATAAAAAGGAACCTAATGTTTTGGGTTTTTTTGAACGATTACTCTTTAAAAGGATCACATGGAGACTTTTTGGCCTCAAATGTTGACTTCCTTTTTGCAAGTTATCTACAGGGTGGCCAGGCCTTCTACCTCTTCTGTCCATTCCCAAGGCTCACGTACTAACTTGGGCTATAAGCTGGCTGGCTGTTGTCTGGTTGCTCTGAAAGAGATGTTAATTCTACCTACCTGTGATCAAAGTAGAGGCTATATTAAGGTATGCAAAGGACATCCGAATCAAA